GCATATTTTCGCAGTAGTTTTGACCTCGGTAAAGGAACCAAGGATGGAAGGATAGAAAGGTCACTTTTGTAAGGACCCATGAGGCCGTAACTCGTGTGTTTTTATTCACACCGAGTTAGATGTATATTAGTATGTATTATTTGGTATATTATGTATATATGTATATTATTATTATCTCATTATATATGTAAAGAATTTTTACCGAGCATGCTTCTCCCGTGCACATAAGATTCAGTCCTTTTAGGTAGGACCAGAGTCGACGAGCTAAGCCAAACTCAGTCTCTAACCAAAACTTGCCCTACCCTATCAAAATTTTGAGTTGGTGGCGACCCTGAATTAGGAACCGCCTAGGACTCGGACCGTACGTAAATCAGCTTCTCTATGTCCTCTTCTGCTCAGGGTTTGAAAGGCGGCCTCTGGGCAGCTTGCTAGCTCGGTATGACTCGGCTCGGCCTACTCTTCTCATACTCTCAGGCGACTATAAAGGCGAAAAGGAGATTCTGACTAAAAACTGATTTTGATCGAATGACCAAGCAGACCCAGAATGACTCTGCGCCGAGTGTAACAACTATTCGGCCGTACCCTATGCTGTCCCCGAACTTTGTTAGGGTAGTTTGTTCAATAATTTGGTATGTTATTATTGACTTATGTTATGACCATTTTATTGTTTCTTTACCTCGATTGTTTTTTTATATTGTTGATAGATTTTGATTAACTTCAACTTCGAGTTTAATTGTTCATTCTTTGTCTTCAGAAACCGTTAAAATGATCTAAGAGTTTTCATTCCGAACAATCCCCCGAACAAAGAGCCATATTCTTCACAATATATTATATACCGCATTATATACTCATTATCTTAGATCGAAAATTGAGATTATTTCTACGAAACTTTTTATTTCAGAGCGGAGGATGTTTCAAACAATTTTGCACGAATTTTGCACGTTATGAAATAAGAAAAAATTTGATGATGCAACAATATTAAGTAATTAGCGGCCAGTGTGCGCGGTGAATATTTAACTTTTATATTTTTAGCTCGTGACTAAGCGCGATATTCTGAACGAAGTTTGTTGATTCAGCTGCTCATTTATATACACGTGCAAACAGAGCATTATTCTCCTCAGCTCTGATAATATCAATTAATATTTACGCATTCTTAAATGGCAAGCGTATGCAATCATTAAGCGGCGAAATATTATTGTTTTATCATAGCTGAAATACCATGTATTAGTAAAATTTTTATTTTTATTTATACGGGACCAGAATTTCTGAAAAGCGAGTGAAAATTTCTTCCTTTTCCAGACATTAGCTGGGATGTACATTTCTGCGGAATTTTCTAACACGGAAATTTTCTAAATAAATTGTGTCCTTGGAACGCGTTAAAGGTTGTCACGCGAAGTCTGCAAAGGTGCGATAAACTTTAGTGCAGTTCATGCATTGTTTATGAGTGCCAGAGTTTTAAGGTCTCATGTTGACCGCGGAGGCGTGCGGTAAACTTCTGAACTAATGGCAGTGCCTCTGAGCTGATGCCTTCACATCTAAACTTTGGGTCTCCACTCAATCTCCCAGGGAGAAAAGTAGGAAGAGAGGAATTGGTCCAAGTCTCACCTCTGGTCCATAAATTTTTTAGTCTCCCTGCGGATGGAATATGGCGGGTTTAAAAAATTGAACCATTAATTATCACAAGAACATATTCATCCGCAGGGAGACTAAAAAATTGACGGACCAGCGGGAAGACTTAGATTTCCGTCTTGTTGTCATATCCGTTATTTACACGGGGGACAGATAAATAACTCTAATAAGGAAAATTCATTATTGGATCAAGATCATTGAAGTTTGAATAATTGCCGTATGACAGATTTTTGGCCAATAATGAGGCGCTGTAAATTCAACGGTGTACAATTTTTTGTTGCAGCGAGGAATTCCGCACAATTATAAAAATATAGCAGAACCGCTTTAACACGTTTCAAAGTTACCGTGTTTTGACATTTAAAATCTATTTCCTGTCCATGGAAAGCATAATTTTCATCAACCAAACAACTTTATGAACTGGAATAGCGCTGAACTATGATAAGTTATAAACATGTAACAAATGATTAACAATTATTATCATCGAAAGTCGAACTTCATCATAATGATGTGCGAAATTGAGCATGCAAGGACGTTATACATTTTATTGGTAATTCGTCCTCGATGGAAATTTTGATAAATTAGAACTTGTTGCAACACGAGTGTACTCAAGCTTGAATTAAATTCACATACATACTTCTGAACATGCTAACATACGTTCACAGTAAAGTGCAAGACACAACAAAGTCATTAATTTCTATTGCCCCTGAAATCGTCAGCGTCATGTGGTTTCATATTGCGAACAGCACTAGACCTTTGTATGAGCGCAGCTAAACCATCAAACGGGATTCCAAGTTTAAAAAAATAGACCAGTACTCACTGCAGTGAGTGACAGAGAGCGCATTTTCTCGACGACGAAAACGTGGTCACGGACGGATGGACGGACAGACGGACGGACGGACGGACGGATGGACATGACGAGCACAATAGCGCCTTTATTTCCAAAAACTAGAAAATGCGGTAAAAAGTGAAATCTCTGAATGTCGTGCAGATAAATGTTTATTGCGGCTGTGGTGCAGGGGATTTGTTTCAAGTTCTACTGACTCGATTTTCCATGTCGTTGTAACGAGAGGAACTTAGGTTTGCTGCCTCAGAAACTTGGCTGAGAATTTATCCTCGCTAGAATTCCCTTGAGCGCAGAGGACTGATGTTTGGCATATCAAGAATGTTATTTGTTGGAAGTTAAAGATGGAATTTCGAGTATATGAGAGAGTGCGCATAATACGGGCATGAGCTGAGCAATTTATGCGAGTTACAAAGAAGGCAATTTAGTTCAGGATTAAAAGTGAAATATCGAAGGCTTTAGCGTAAGGTTGTTATTCAAAAGCTATTGGTTTAGACATAAATACGAAAGGGCTAGAGAATGGCTGTAATTAGGATGAACTCGAGAAAGGTTCTATACAGATTGTTTTCCATGTTATTCTATTTAGCACATTTTCTCATTTATGGACATAATGCCGTATATTGTGCTCGTCATGTCCGTCTGTCTGTCTGTCCGTCCGTGACTTCACGTTTTCGTCGAAGAGAAAATGCGCTCTCTGTCACTCACTGCAGTGAGTACTGAGTTTTATTTTTTGAAGTAATCCAGTCGGTACGCACTGCTTTAATAATTTATGTCTTAAATTGCATTTGAATTTAAGATTTTTTTTAAATGGGGGATAACTTTACAGTCCACAAGAGTCCGGAATGAAGAAGCGTCATCATCGGTCGACCTCTGCGTATATTAATAATTGACTGACCAAGGCCTGCGTTTTGACCGTGCCGTGTAATATGCATGTCGAGATTATTAATATAAGAGTGTTACAGTTTCAATTATATATTGAAAAATAAGGAATAAGAGAGCAGCTGCATTGTTGAAAATAATCACAATACGAAATATTTTTATATCGGTAGATAATAATAACGACAATATTTATATACACAATTAAGTAAGTGTGAACATGTGTTAAGTAGATATATAATGAACTGAATAGTATTAATATAAACTATAAAATAAGTGCGATCATTAGCTACGTAGATATATAATGATATTAATGATTAAAGTAGATATATAATGAGTAATATTAATATACACAATAAAGTAGGTATGAACATTATCAGGGCCTGGATCAGGCCCTGATCCAGGTCTCGTTTAGCTATCAATTGGTTTTCATGAGACGCTCGTATTCATAGCAAAGGAGAAATATAAGTGAATATGAAAAAATGTTGTTTAACACCTAATTTTTTAAAATTGCAATTTATTGTCTACTGTCATTATACCGGTATTATTCATTGCTTCTAGTTCATTTTTCATCTCATAGTATCTTTTAGCTCCTTGAATATTTTCCTCCATTTTCGTAACATCTTTCATTTTAATGACTAATTTTTCCTGCTTCAATGAACGTAATCCTTATTTTTCTGATATTTTAGCGTGGTTTCTTATCATGTCGATGGATTTTGTGATCCTAGCATCTAAATGTTTTTATTGACATCAAACTCCGTCATATGTTACTAAAAAGAAGATGTCGCAGGTAATTTCTCAAATATTGCAGGCTAACATAAGGATTAAAAACTGTAAATTATATTCATAGCGCATTTTCTCATTTATGGGAAAAAAGGAGCTATTGTGCTCGCCATGTCCGTCCGTCTGTCCGTCTGTCTGTCCGTCCGTGACTTCACGTTTTCGTCGACGAGAAAATGCGCTTTCTGTCACTCACTGCAGTGAGTACTGAGTTATATTTTTTTTAGAAATTTGAAGCACAAGAGAAGATTTAAAATTTTAAGAACCAAATAATTACTAATTATTTCATATGCGTGTAGGCGTGAAGGTAGCGTTGAAGGTACAATTTAAAAAAACTGTAAATTTACTTTCTATTTTCATAAATTTACAGTCTAAGAGGAAATCTAAATAAAAAACTGAAAAATCAATTTTTTATAAATTTGAAGCACAAGAGACAATTTAAAACTTTAAGAACAAAATAATTACTAATTATTTCTTATATAATAATTATTATCTTATTTATTATTATTTATTAATTTTTTTATCTTTCTCAATAATAATTATCTTATTTACAGGCGTGAAGGTATAATTTTTATAAATTTGAAGCACAAGAGGAAATCTAAAACTTTAAGAACCAAATAATTAATAATTATTTCTTATATAATAATTATTATCTTATTTATTATTAATTATTATTATCTTTATCTTTGTCAATAATAATTTTCTTATTTACCGGCGTGAAGGTATAATTTTTATAAACTTGAAGCACAAGAGGAAATCTAAAACTTTATGAGCAAAATAATTAATAATTATATTTTATATAATGATTATTATCTTATTTATTATTAATTATTACTATCTTTATCTTTATCAATAATGATTATCTTATTTACAGGCGTGAAGGTAGAGCTGAGTTACTCTAAGAACGAGACCGAGCTCACGAGAGGTCTGGTGAAGAGACTGACAGAGGAGCTCGAGGAGCTCAAGCAGCGAGTCGAGAGTCTTGAGCAGGAGCTAGAGGCCTCCGAGAGTGAGTGACTTATTAAAACTTCATAAAAATGTATGAATATATTTCACTAACTTTAGTAATGATATCATCGTCATGCTGGTATTTTAATTTAAATTTAAAGTTCTTTTATTTTTAAAATTCCGTAAAATTCCATTGAAAAAATCTTTTATGTTGGATCACATTCATTTTCATCATTAAGTTTCATAAAAATGTATGAATAACTTTCACTAACTTTAGTAACGACATCATCGTTTTAATTCGGATAGTTTTTTCATGTTGGATCATTGAAAAAGTATCCGAAAAAAGTATGAGAACTATGTATTTCACTAACTTTAGTAACAACATCATTGTCATGCTGGGGTTTTAGTTCGGCTAGTTCTTTCATGTATATCACATTCATTTTCATCATTAAACTTCATAGAAATGGATGAATATATTTCACTAACTTTAGAAACGATATCTACGTCATGCTGGTATTTTAATTCGGATAGTTTTTTCATGTTAGATCACATTCATTTTCATCATTAAACTTCATAAAAATGTATGAATATATTTCACTAACTTTAGTAATGATATCATTGTCATGCTGGGATTTTAATTGGCTAGTTCTTTTTGGATCACATTCATTTTCATCATTAAACTTCATAAAAATGTATGAATATATTTCACTAACTTTAGTAACGACATCATCGTCATGCTGGGGTTTTAATTCGGCTAGTTCTTTCATGTATATCACATTCATTTTCATCATTTTAATTCATAAAAATAATTAACGACGTCATCGACATGCTGGGATTTTAATTCGGCTAGTTCTTTCATGTTGGATCACATTCATTTTCATCATTAAACTTCATAAAAATGTATAAATATATTTCACTAACTTTAGTAACGACATCATCGTCATGCTGGGATTTTAATTCGGCTAATTATTTCATGTTGGATCACTTTCTTTTTCATTACGCTTGCATGAGGAAGAAGCGTTCTTTAGTTGTTACATCTACCGGACATTTAATCTAATAATGCGAAGAGAATAAGGAGATTATGAGTTAATGATGAACGGTCATTTGAGGATCACAAAAAGTTAAATAAAAGAAATTTTAAATGGAGCTTCAAGTCCTGGCAATTATAGTTATATAAGGTTTTTAATTATACAATACAATTTTCTGTCAATAGATAGTAATTTTTTTCATCATGCAATAGATAGTAATTTTCTGTCAATAGATAGTAATCGAAATTATTTCTTAAAATAAACCGGTGCGCATGCCTGTCATAGATAACAATTTCACCTTCTCATTCGAAATTATTTCTTAAAATAAACCGGTGCACATGCCTGTAATTGATAACAATTTCACCATCTCATTCTAAATTATTTCTTAAAATAAACCGGTGAACATGCCTGTCATTGATAATAATTCCATCATCTCATTCGAAATTTGTTCTTAAAATTAGTATATTTAGTCACTGATAACAATTTCACCATCTCATTCGAAATTATTTCTTAAAATGAGTATTTTTAACAATTGATAACAATTTCACCATTTCATTGGAAATTATTTCTTAAACTGAGTATTTTTAAACATTGATAATAATTTCTCAATCTCATTCGAAATTATTTCTTAAAATAAACAGGTGCACATGCCTGTAATTGATAACAATTTCACCATATCATTCGAAATTATTCCATAAACTGAGTATTTTTAAACATTAATAACAATTTCACCTTCTCATTCGAAATTATTTCTTAAAATAAACCGGTGCACATACCTGTCGTTGATAATAATTTCACCTTCTCTTTCAAAATTATTTCTTAAAATGAGTATTTTTAATAAATGATAACAATTTCACCATCTCATTCTAAATTATTTCTTAAAATGAATATTTTTAATTCATGCCCATGTGTCGGTAACTTGCAGGAAACAATTTCACAATCTCATTCGAAATTATTCCTTAAACTTAGTATTTTTAGTAATTGATAACAATTTCACCATATAATTGGAAATTATTTCTCAATATGAGTATTTTTAGACATTAATAACAATTTCACCATCTCATTCGAAATTATTTCTTAAAATGAGTATTTTTAATCATCGATAACAACTTCGCCATCTCAATTAAAATTATTTCTTGAAATGATTATTTTTCATTTCATGTGTCTGTTACTTGCAGGGGAGCTAAAGCGCATGGAAATCCTACAAGAAAAACTGCAAGTCACGGAGGCCAAGAAGAATGAAATGCAGGCACAAATTAACGACATTGAACTGGAGCGCGACGAGGAGATCAAAATCATACAAGACGTAAGTAGTTTGTAATAATCTAACTTATAACAGTAGCTGAACCTTTCCCAAGTAAAAATAAAAAAAAAATACAATATCGAATGAAAGAAATTGTGACCCACTTCCAGATGTGACCCACTACCGGCCGGATGGCCCTAATATTTGAGCAAAAAATGAAAGCTTTGGAGGTATTAGTGACCAATAAATATTCTCGATCTTCAACCACAAAAAACAAAGAGTCATTTTTTATTTGGGTAATACTGGTCATAAATACAGAAAAAAATTCGTATGAACGGCTAATCGTTTTTTGAGCTGAGCCTTCTTTTACATACAATAGCGTCGTGGGTTTGCTAAATGCAAATGGCCTCGAAACAGCTCTACGCTGTCCAAACTTCGTTAATTGCGTTGGCACTAAACATTTCGAGCTTCATTTGTCCAGTTACAACCAAATGAACTTAATTTTATACCGCCGTATATTTCTCTCCGGGAACATAAATTTCAATTTGAATTATACGTAAATTATTGAGTGTAGCAACCTGAAGACGTTTGTACGCAACAGAGAACATTTTAAAGTTGTCGTACGTGGCGGCAAATTATACGTAAACTAGTGAGTGTAGCAACCTGAGGACGTTTGTACGCAACAGAGAACATTTTAAAGTTGTCGTACGTGGCGGCAACCATCAGTGCAAGTCATTTTGCGCTCACTAGAACGTATCCTTTTTGGGAAGTAGGCGCGTGACAATATTGCTCTGGTTCTCATGTCAGGCGGTAGAGGGTTAATCACCAATCATTCCCAGAAGTACTTCAGTACCGCATAACACTTCTCCCTGATCCCTCACAGTACTCACCCTACCTCAACCATGCCGTTTATCACCAGCTCTGCCTAATTAACCGTAATAAACCTTAAGCTTCAGCGCCTGTCGTAAGCGGTGCTATTTTTCTGCAACTCTAATCGCTGGAAGTGAGTTTGAGCGATCAGACGCGCGGCGTAACTCGATTTGAAGCGCCCTTAACTATGGCCACTAAACTGGGCGATCAGAGGTGATGACGTTCACTTTATTGGGCGAGTTTGAATGCGGTTTGAGTAGGTGTGTTGCTTATGGCGTGCAAGCCTCAGCCTGGTGTAGAGAAATCATGCAACGGTCTGGTGTAAGGATCACGTATTATTATTATTATTATTATTATTATTATTATTATTGTTATTATTATCAATATTATTATTATTAATGTGGACGATGCATGTGTTTCGGTCAGCCGGCGCTCACCCAGCTGTACATATTAATTTTTTTTCATATTAATTTAGCGCTTCATATTAATAATTTTTATTCATTCTAATTCAGCTTTTCATATTAATTTTTGTTCATTGTAATTCAGCTATCCATAGTCAAGCCGTAGGACTGATGAAATTTGCTGGCTGGCCACGGGTCCTACCACTGAACGACGGCTTCGTTTGAACTGAATTAAAGTTTCTTTGTAATATACGTGGACGCTATAATTAAAGTATAAGCTAACTAGACTACAGATTTGTCAGTATTAAATTTAAGTGTTCCATTGGTAACATAGGTAACTTAACTTATTGATTTAATTGATTGTGAAGTATAAAAGACGTATGTTAAATCAAGACAGCATACTCTCATATCAGGACACAGAGGATTGAATTTTTTGTGTTAACAAAAGTGAAGAAGTGTCGTCATTTTTTGCCATAATATCTTGAAAAACTCCGACATGCACTCAAATTTTGATCTCGTAAAGAATAATAACAGCAGCATGCAGCATTGTCTACATGTATGCTATCGTTGGATCATTGAATGCGTCATTGCAAGCTCAATTTTTCGTTTTAGCCTACATATAGTGTGTGTTTTTTCACATCATGAAACTTTGTTGTAATTTTATAGCTTTTTAAGTTCCACTTTCATCGTATTTCAGTTTCACTGTATTTCAGTTTCAGTTTCATCGTATTTCAGTTTCACTGTTTTTCAGTTTCGGTTTCATCGTATTTCAGTTTCACTGTTTTTCAGTTTCGGTTTCATCGTATTTCAGTTTAAGTTTCATCGTATTTCAGTTTCACTGTTTTTCAGTTTCAGTTTCATCGTATTCCAGTTTCACTGTATTTCAGTTTCGGTTTCATCGTATTTCAGTTTAAGTTTCATCGTATTTCAGTTTCACTGCATTTCAGTTTCAGTTTCATCGTATATCAGTTTCATCGTATTTCAGTTTCAGTTTCATCGTATTTCAGTTTCAGTTTCATTGTATTTCAGTTTCACCGTATTTCACTTTCAATTTCATCGTATTTCAGTTCCATCGTATTTATAGTAATTACTACAAACTGAAGCCTTATGACACACGTATTCCTCCGCCAGGCGCTAGACGAGGCAGCGGAGGAGCGAGAGGAGCTACTGACCACATTCGAGAAGGAGCTTGAGCGTCTCACGGCTCAGAACGCCGCGCGGGAGGCGCAGATGTTACTTGAGTTCGAGGAGAAACTCAAGGAACTTGAGCGCCAGCACAAAAAACAGATCGAGGACAAAGAAAGAGAAGCTAAGGTGAGATCAGGGAGATATTTGATTAAATATCGAATTCATATATAATGGGTATTTATAAAATTCATTTTGGGTGGAATTCATATATGATTATGTCCGAGTTCGAAAACAAACCCAAGAAACCTTAGCGCCAGCACAAAAAGCAGATCGAGGACAAGGAAAGAGAAGCTAAGGTCAGATAAGTGTGATATATGATTAATTTTCAAATTCATTTATTATGGGTATTTAAAAAATTCATTTTGAGGGGGAATTCATATATGATTATCTTCGGGTTTGAGGAGAAACTCAAGGAACTCGAGCGCCAGCACAAGAAGCAGATCGAGGACAAAGAAAGAGAAGCTAAGGTCAGATCAGGGAGATATTTGATTAAATATCGAATTCATATATAATGGGTATTTATTAAATTTATTTTGGGGGAATTCATATATGATTATTTCCGAGTTTGAGGATGAATTCGAAGAAATTGAGCGTCAGCACAAAAAACAGATCGAGGACAAGGAAAGAGAAGCTAAGGTCAGATAAGTGTGATATATGAATAATTTCCGAATTCATTTATTATGGGTATTTAAAAAATTCATTTTGGGTAGAATTCACATGTGATTATGTGATTATGTCCGAGTTCGAGGACAAACTCAAGGAACTTGAGCGCCAGCGCAAAAAGCAGATCGAGGACAAGGAAAGAGAAGCTAAGGCCAGATCAGTGTGATGTATGATTTTTTCCGAATTTATATAGAATGGGTGTTTAAAAAAATAGTTTTCGGTGGAATTCAGTATTATGGATTCATTTTTTATTATGTCCGAGTTCGAAAACAAACTCTAGGAACTCGAAAGGCAACACAAAAAGCAGATCGAAGACAAGGAAAGAGAAGCTATAGGTCAGATCTGTGTGATTTTTGACGAATATGTGTTTTTTTCATACACAACCATGTTTATTTTCCCAGTCCCTAGGATTTTTAAACTGAATTACCCTAGGATTTTGTTATCTTAATTTCCATTCGGAATCCAGGCATCATGTTTTTCTCATCAACAAGTAAAATTTAAGCAGGGATAATAAAAATCACTGTAGGCATTCCTATCATCTTTAGAATTCATCGCCTGACTTTTATGAGCTCAAAGAAGAGGATTGACGAAGTAATTCTTATTTAAAACCGTAGCATAAAAATAGCGGCCTAAAGGAATAAAGAGAAGGAGCCGTTCAATTAGATTCCTTCGTCTGCTTTTTTTTGTAGGGAATTCCCGGTGTTTTATTTTTACCTATAAAGAGTTAGGATTTTGAATTATATAACGACGTTGTCAGAATAAAAGGTCTGCTGAAGAACACACAACTGTTCGAATACGTATTGCGTTAAAATTAAGATCAATTTTATCAATCAATCTTTTATTTTTAAGGATAAATTATTTTACCAATCTAAGCGTAAGCGCTTGTCATGTACAACGCTTCATCGTAAGCGCCTGCCATGTACAACGCTTCATCGTAAGTGCCTGCCATGTACAACGCTTCATCGTAAGCGCCTGCCATGTACAACGCTTCATCGTAAGCGCCTGCCATGTACAACGCTTCATCGTAGGCGCCTGCCATGTACNAACGCTTCATCGTAAGCGCTTGCCATGTACAACGCTTCATCGTATGCGTCTGCCATGTACAACGCTTCACCGTAAGCGCTTGCCATGTACAACGCTTCATCGTAAGCGCTTGCCATGTACAACGCTTCATCGTATGCGTCTGCCATGTACAACGCTTCACCGTAAGCGCCTGCCATGTACAACGCTTCATCGTAAGCGCTTGCCATGTACAACGCTTCATCGTAAGCGCCTGCCATGTACATCGCTTAGCTCTTCCTAAAAACATGCCTAATGAGCTCGGCTCAAAACGACGCCAGTGCTGTACTTGTTGGCGCTCAAGAACACATTTTAGATTTTTTATATTCTTTGGGTTATTTTAGGATAGCATTAAATTATATTTATTTACTAGAATCGCTGAATACAAGAATCGAGGCCTAATTTTAATAAATATGAGCAGTAAAGGTGAATGTTTCGTGTAAATTTAAAACATATTTCAGGCAGAGTGCTGCTGGCAGAGGATTTCCGGCTGCATTATAACACATATAAAAAGTAAATGTTTTGGGTAAAGGTAAAACAGATTCCAATTCGTGTAGGTGGACGTGTTGTGCTGCAAGGAAGCCTGCCTAGTGCCAAGGTTTTTCCAGGCTCGTCATTTTTTGAAGGTAGACGTCAAGAAGCGCTTTCGTGATGAGCATTTTTGAGCATTTTTCTGGTCAGTGATGAGTATTTTTCTGGTCATGGAATTTTACGACAACGGCAGCGCGTGAACTTTTCATGGCTGAACATTCTTACGATCATAAGCCTCGCGATGCAAGCGCGTTAAGGCGAGAATCGCGAGAATTCAGTATACCTGTTCTGCAGTGTCTATACTGAGCTGGTCTTCACTCTTCAGTATACGCACCCTGTATCTACACTGAACTGGTTTTCACTGTTTTGTAAACCTGCCTTATTGTGTCTATACTGTTCGAGTCGTCACTTTTCACTATATCTGCCAGTATCTGTACTGCTCAGTGTACCTATCAGTATCTGTACTGTTCAGTGTACCCGTCAGTTTCTGTACTGTTCAGTGTACCCGTCAGTATCTGTACTGTTCGGTATGCCCGTCAGAATCTGAGTATCTAATACAGCAGCTATCTCAAACAATCGTCAGCTATGGAAAGATAGGGTTCCAAAGGCCGGATCCCTTGTGAATCAAGTCACGAGAAGTACAATATTCTATTCTATTCTATTCTATTCTATTCCATTCCATTCTATTCTATCTGTACTGTTCAGTTGCTGTTCTCCCACAGGCTGCACTGCAGCGCAACAAAAGGATGGCTGATGAAGAAGAGGTGCGACAGCGTCTTGAGAAGCTCAGGAGCGACCTGAACTCTGAGGTGAGTGCTCAGGTCTGATCTTCCAGCCTGAGCAGATAAATAATGATGAAACAACGTTGATTATGAGTAGATTTTGTTCTAACAATGTTTAATTAACGTTATTCTAGCATTGAAGAGTGCTTGAGGGCAGGTGAACTCTGAGGTGAGGACCAGGGCAGGTCTTCCAGCCTGAACAGATTAATAATGATGAAACAACGTTGATTACGAGTAGATTTAGTTGTAATAATGTTTAATTAACGTTATTCTAGCATCGAAGAGTGATTGAGGGCAGGTGAACTCTGAGGTGAGTGACCAGCAAAAAAGTTGTTTACGCGTTGATTTTGTTGTTACAATGTTTAATTAACGTTATTCTAGCATCGAAGAGTTCTTGAGAGGAGGTGTGAGATAGGAGGTTAATTAGCATGGTTGAACTATATACGGTTGACCCACGAGAAGTTCCGCGTTTCAGTTCAGCTTTCTTGTTACGTCACTGAGATCGAGAAACGTAAACAAACCCGTCATTCCCAAGACGGATTGGTTGACTGGTTTGATCGCATTTCGGTGATTGGTTAATGCCTGTGACGTCACTGAGATCAGTGATGTCACAGGCGAATAACGAACTACATCCTCAAAAAATAAGCTTCTCATGGGTCAATCTTATACTAGTTAATCCATGGGAGGTGAGTACTAAGAGATACAGAGTATGTAAGGCTGCAAAGATCATATAACATTAAGACGTACTCTGAAGATTTTATTTAGCACATTTATGTAAAGTTCGGTCTCGAGTTTAAAGACTTGCCCACTGCCGAGTTTAAGAGTGAGCATCTTGCTGGGTGACTGAGTTTATGGCAGGGCTCATTCAGAACATTGAAATTTTCAAATTGCAGTCAGGATTGTGGAAAATCTAATAATATATACTTAGTGAAGATTTCGATTGCGTTGGTTGTGCCGATTTCAGTGGGAAGAAAAGTAATACTAAAATTGTCAAATTGCAGTCAGGTTCGTATAAAATGTAATAATATACATTTAGTGAAGATTTTGATGTTAATTATCTGGTTGTGCCAGTAATCAAGATTAAAATAATTAAATATTAAATTAAAATTAAATTAAAATTAAAAATTTAAATTAAATTTTGATTAAATATAATTAAAGTCTAATAACATATATATCTAGTGAAGATTTTTATGTTAATTCGTTGGTTGTACCTCTTTCAGTGGGAAGACAAGGAATATTCAAATTGTCAAATTGCAGTCAGGTATTTATTACTAAATCTAATATTATGTATTTAGTGAAGATTTTGATGTTAATTCTTTGGTTGTGCCGATTTTAGTGGAAAGAAAATTAACATTAAAATTGTCAAATTGCAGTCAAGTTTATATAAAATGTAACACTAAGTAATTAGTGAAGATTTTTATGCTAATTCGTTGGTTGTACCGCTTTCAGGTTCGTGTAAAATGTAATAATATATATTTAGTGAATATTCTGATGTTAGTTCGTTGGTTGTTCCTCTTTCAGTGGGAAGATAACCTTCGTCGTGAGATCTAATAATATATGCTTAGTGAAGTTTTTTATCTTAATTCGTTGGTTGTACCGGTTTCAGTGGGAAGACAAGCTACGTCGTGAGTGCTCCCGACTCAAGGGTGAGCTGGACGAGCTTCACGCAGAAGAGAAGCATCTCGCTGTCGAGTCCGTGAAGGTTCAGAAGGATCAGGAGCTTCATGCCACCAAGAAAAATCTCGAGGTCAAAGCAGAAGCTTTAAATAAAGAAGTGAGTGGTTCGGGGTTGATTTAATTAAATCTTGAAATTCTGTATGAAATTCTTCAATTCATAATGAAATTCATAATGAAATTCATAATGAAATTCATAATGGAATTCATAATGAAATTCATAATGAAATTCATAATGAAATTCATAATGAAATTCATAATGAAATTCATAATGAAATTCATAATGAAATTCATAATGAAATTCATAATGAATTCTTCAATTCATAATTCAATTCAAAATGAAATTCTTCGCTGCTTTATTAATTTTTTGCATGACATTCATCGCTCATTCATAAATTATGTGTTAATTTACGAATTAAATTATTTATTAAATTAGATTAATTTATTAATTAGATTAACGGGATTTATAAATTAAAACAAAATATAAATTATCACCATACATCAGAGCTTTCGGAATAGTTGGCATAATAATCTTCGCTGCTTTATAAAATAATTAGCATATTATTATTCGCTGCTTAATGCATCAATTTCATAATATTTTAATGTTAATTAAAATATCTTCGGCTCTGAATTAATTGGACTCGAACATTAATTAATGCCCACATAACTTAATTCAAAGTAAACAATAAATTAAGTAAATGGCTTACAAAAATTTTTGTTTGCAATTACAGTAAATGTCCAGCCAGTTCCAATTTTTTTGTCAAAATTCTTCGCTGTTACTTCACGTAGCAATTTTGTGTAGTGTAGCCGATACTGCACGTAGCGATTTTGCGTAGTGTAGCTGTTACTTCACGTAGAGATTTTGTGTAGTGTAGCCAATACTTCACGTAGAGATTTTGTGTAGTGTAGCCGACACTTGTGCTGAGCAGACAACCGAATTTGCTCAGACCTGCTCTGTTAGCCCGAATATCTATCTGTTGTTGAACTAATTATCGAAAATCCTGGTCCTCATATTACGTATATCATTGGCTAAAAAAACTTTTTTCGAACGTACCTCTTAAATTTCGTCTTCGATTCGTCACACCTGCATTTAGCCTGAATGAAATTCATGTCAATAAATTTGCGCTGGTCTTTAAAATTCCTTGCGCTGTTCGCGCAAAGTTCCAATAATTAATTACCGAGTTTGAATCCACATATCTAAACTCGAAATTCCACTATTACGAATACTAATTTTAGCTTGAAAACCTGGTTGATCCTATACTTGTTGAACAGCATGGCTGCAAACGCGAATGCGGACAAGTGGAATTGAAATTAGTATTTAGTTGACATTGAAATTTGAAAATTCACTGGTATTTTTGCAGTTATTTTGAGCCTTTGATATTGGTTAGCACAATCTGATGCGGTGTCTTGTTTTTGTTGCGTTGCAATAAAACTTCGCTACAAGAAATTTTACGGAATTGTCGTTTTTTCCTGCAATGAGGCTACTGGAAATGCCGGGAAATAAGATTGTTAACCGAGACGCTTTGAACCTGCGTAGGATGCGCTGTTTGACGCAAAAGTTTCAAACAAAATCTTCGACGAAGGAATCAAAGTTTTATGATTTCTTGACGTTTTACAATAAAGAAATTGCACTGACATTCTCAGTGCTTCCAGATTGTTATAACTTTATCGTCTAATACCTGTTTATTATAGAGCTTAGCTTGTCTTTGCTATTAAGTTTTTCGAAGTGTTCTATCATGTTATGAAATTTTAATTCATATAATTTAGATCAAACTAAATAAATGCTTCGATATATGCGCCATATTCGTCAGTACGCTAATATGGCGTAACCTGCATCACCAACATCACATTCATCGCCTCCATCACCTACATCGCCTACATCACCTACACCAACATCACCTACTTCACCTATATCACCTACATCACATACATCACTTACATCACTTACATCACCTACATCACTTACATCACCTACATCACCTACATCACCAACATCACCTACATCACATACATCACATAAATCACCTACATTAACACACGATAGTGGCTAACTATATACAACAAAATGGCGTCACTTTTCTAATTTTCTCTGACGAAATAATTTATTATTTCGTCAGATTTCGACGCTGAAGGAAAGTCTGGTGACGAAGGAAGAGTTGTACCAGCAGGAGCTGGACGACGTAAGGACGCAGGCTGACCGCGACGTGTGGGAGCTGCGACGTAAGCTGCAGAGGCTCGACGAGACGACGTACGATCGTCGTCAGCAGCTCGAGGACAAGCATCGGGAGGAGCTTGGTCAGTTTATATCATTTCTTACATCGAATATATTTAAAATATTAGCTCTTAGTCGTCTACTTACTAAATTTTCAATTTCATGTTCTATTATTTCTTATATCGCATATATTTAAGATATTGATATCATAATCATATACTTACTTAAATTTCTATTTCTTCCACCGCGACTGTTATTTCTTTACACTTGGTTTCTCCGCTAAATGATGTGCGTACTTCCTCTATGATTTTTCGTATCCTTGCTTATTTCGATGTTTGATTCCAACCTACTTCCGCATTATTTTTTTTTCATGTACGCAACTTCAAACTTGTGAAATTTTTCTCTTACCACACAGTTAAATAAAGATTTGCTGCTTTCGATTTCAAATTATATTTCATTCATTTACTTACTCTTTTTTCTCCTTTTCTCCAACATACATACATTCTCTTATTAAATATCACATCTTAACTTCAATTTCATTTCAAATAGTAACAAAAAATTGCGAAGGTTTTCAAAAATGTAAAGTTTGTGAAGATATTAGTTTTCGATATCGCATAGAGAAAAGAAAAACAAGGTTTTCAAAAATGTGCTTCGAATGTCGGCGAGGAGAAATCCCTCTCTTAATGGGAAATTGCGTAAACTTATTAAACTTCGATATAGCATTCATCGCTCTGAGTGATGAAGAGCTTCAGGTTCTTCTAAGTCTGTAATTATTTCAATAGTCCTGTGTTCGCTGTCGAAAATTTTTTTTCGTTAAAACAATATTTGGATTGATTTAAAACTGTTTAAATGGCACGAAAAAATATTCTGGGACCGTTTTCAGCGCACTCAAACATACACTCATTCAAGTATGTGTTTTCTCAGGTATGTATATTTAACACTAGTTAAAAGTATACGCTTGTACGCTCGTGAATTTAACTTATTTATTAATGGTTTGCGCACAGAGCGCCTGCGCGAGGAGTATGCAGATAAGCTGTCGGGGCTGGAGGCGCAGCTAGCGTGCGTAGACGTCCGAGGCATGGAAGACCTCAGGACTAAACTGGAGACTTGCCATAAGACTGAAGTGGAGCACCTGTGTCAGCAGCACCGTCTCAGCATGGGTGAGTCATGTCAGCAGCACCGACTCAGCATGGGTGCAGCACCGACTCAGCATGGGTGAGTCATGCCAGTAGCTCTGACTCAGCATGGGTGAGTGTTGTTAGTAGCTCTGACTCAGCATGGGTGAGTCATGTCAGCAACACCGACTTAGCATGGGTGAGTCATGCCAGCAGCACCGACTCAGCATGGGTGAGTCATGCCAGCAGCACCGACTCAGCATGGATGCAGCACCTGTCTCTTATACACATCTAGATGTGTATAAGAGACAGCAGCATGGGTGAGTCATGTCAGCAGCACCGACTCAGCATGGGTGAGTCATGTCAGCAGCACCGACTCAGCATGGGTGAGTCATGTCAGCAGCACCGACTGAGCATGGGTGAGTCATGTCAGCAGCACCGACTTAGCATGGGTGAGTCAGCATCTTTGCAAGTAGCATGGACAATGTATATGACAGCTCATGTCAGCGAAGGTTTTTACGAGCCCTATTCATCATTAATATAGTAGCTTTCACTGCCATAGATATATAATAGCAAAATTTTCACGATTAGAAGAATAGTATCAATAACAAAGATATAACGAATGCAGTCATTGTTACTGTAACAGCCGCTGCAACAGCGCAATTTTCGCTGTCGCGCCAGAGAGCATCTTTAGGTGTCTTTTTTATAGCTTCTGTAACGTCCGCAGGATTGCAAGAACTGTTCCGTACGCTGTAAAAGCTATACTGCAACGACTGTAGTAATTAGCGCTGTAACAGCTGTAACGGCAAAAGCAGTAGAGTAACTGTGTTTGCCGTTGTAATATTTTTAAATTCTAACAGCAAAAATTAAAAAAAAAAATATTTCGGTCGCTGTAATAGGATAACTGTAATGGCCACAGCTATAGAGTTGCGGGAGTGTCGGTCGTAATGGCTTGTCGTCCTTAGTGCCTTGAGCTGCCAGGCGACGAAAGTCAAGACACTTTACTGCCTCTCCATCGAGCAAAAAACCCACTCTATGCCCTCGGGAGTGGAAACCCTCTCTTTGCCTTCAGTTGAAAGAAATCCTTTTTATTACCTTGGGGCACGGGAACCCTCTTCATACGCCTGGGGTGGAAACCTCTCTATAGCCTTGGGCGAGGAAACCTTCTCTTTAACTTCGGGTATAGAAATCCTTTCTATACTCCGAGCACGGAAACCCTTTCTATACCATTGGTGTGGAAACCCTCTCTTTACCCTCGGACATGGAAACCCTCTCTATACCCCTTGTGTGGAAGCCCTCTCTATACAGACTGTTGCGTAAACCCTCTATAAACCGTCGGACCCAGAAGCCTTCTCTATACCCCAGGAAATAGAGTCTGCACTGCACTGCAGAGCGTACGGTAGATCATATGAGTGAGCTGCAGCATACTGAAGGGCAACAGCGTTTAGTAGACCGTAGGCCTGTCGCCGATACTTAACATCGCAGAACATTTACAGCATTTTGCGGACTTGAACTCGCAACTCACAGCTCCAATTCTGCTGTGCTTAACCGCCCGGCCTCCTTGCCGATTCTGACCAGAAACTGGCGCACAGAGTTGGGATCGAACCCGCGCCTCTCTGCGCCAATCTTGGTACTCTGAACTGTAGCCTCTGGGCCACCCTGCCGAAAACCGAAAGATTGAAATATTATACGTGAGTTATTTCCACAGGATGAGGAACAATAATTAAGCATGGTTGTTTCCCGGTATTTCGGTAGAGAGGCTGCGAGATGAGCTGGAGGCTGAGAAGGCGCAGGCTGCAGAGGAGGCGCGGGTGCTGGTCACCAAGCACCACGAGTACATCATAGAGGGGCTACGCGACCAGCTGGCTGAGGCTGTCACTACTGCTGCACAGGTGACCTGGTGGGGTATATAGGGGACTGAGTGAGGCGTTCGTGGGACTTGATGAGGCGTTAAAGGGACTGAGTGAGGCGTTCAGGGACATAATGACGAGGTCAGGGGACTAAGTGAGGCGTTCATGGGACTTGATGAGGCGTTCAAGGGACTGAGTGAGGCGTTTAGGTGACTGAGGACTTCAGGGGATTAAATGACACCTTCAAGGGCCGTAGTTAGGCTTTCAAGGGATTTAATGAGGCGTTCAGGAGACCGAGTGAAGCGTTCAAGGGTCTGAGTGAGGCTTTCAGGGACTTGATGATGAGGTCAGGGGACTGAGTGAGGCGTTCGAGGGACTTATTAATGAGGTCAGGGGACTGAGTGAGGCGTTCAAAGGACTGATTATGCATTCAGGTGACTGAGGTGTTCAAGGGACTTGACGCGTTCAGGTGAATGAGGCGTTCAAGTTCAAGGGACTTGACGCGGAAAGGTGACTGAGTGAGGCGTTCAAGGGACTTAATGACGCGTTCAGGGGACTGAGTGAGGCGTTCAAGGGACTTAATGACGCGTTCAGGGGACTGAGTGAGGAGTTCAAGGGACTTAATGACGCGTTCAGGGGACTGAGTGAGGCGTTCAAGGGACTAAATGACGCGTTCAGGGGACTGAGTGAGACGTTTAAAGGAAGTAATGACGCGTTCAGGTGACTGAGTGAGGCGTTCAGTGGACTTGATGTGTTCAGGGGACTGAGTAACGCGTTCAGTGGACTTGACGTGTTCAGGGGACTGAGTGAGGCGTTCATGGGACTTGATGACGCCTTCAGGGGACTGAGTGAGGCACTCAAGAGACTTAATGACGCGTTCAGGTGACTGAGTGAGGCGTTCAGTGGACTTGACGTGTTCAGGTGCCAGAGCGAGGCGTTCAAGAGACTTAATGACGCGTTCAGGGGACTTAATGACGCGTTCAGGGGATTGATTGAGGCGTCTAGAAGACTATGCATAGGAGTCTATGTGGCATCCTGCTGAAAATGTGGCATTGCCACAGGATGACACTATCGTGTTATTACTCTGTACAATTTACAAGTCTATGTAATAGTAATGCAATAATAACGTTTGAATAATGAATTTCCAGAGTCACTAATCGTCGATTATCCTTGCTTAGTACCGCGACGAGATCGAGGCCATCAAGTTCGCGTTGTCGCGGCGTGAGGAAGTCATCCGATCGCTGGAGGAGGACGTGGCGAGGCTGCGATCCTCCAAATGTGGCACACCCTCGTCCCCCACACCAGCCCACTACACATCACAGTCCCCCAGCAACACCCAGGCCCCCGTTGCCCCCTTCCAGTTCCCCCATGAGGGGTCCCAGGGCTCACGCAGCTCTCAGGACCGTCTCAGCAACGACACGGATGATGATGGCCATAAGGGCAGGTTGGTTGACAGTGCCTTGGTTGGCCGTACTTTGGTTGGCAGTACCTTAATTGGTTGGTCGTACTTTAGTTGACAGTGCCTTGGTTGGCCGTACCTTGGTTGACAGTGCCTTGGTTGGCTGTACTTTGGTTGGCAGTACCTTAATTGGTTGGTCGTACCTTAGTTGACAGTGCCTTGGTTGACCGTACCTTGGTTGGCCGTACCTTGGTTGGCCGTATCTTGGTTGACAGTGCCTTGGTTGACCGTACCTTGGTTGGCCGTACCTTGGTTGACCGTACCTTGGTTGACAGTACTTTGGTTGACTGCACCTTGGTTGGCCGTACCTTGGTTGACCGTACCTTGGTTGACAGTGCCTTGGTTGGCCGTACCTTGGTTGATCGTGTCTTGGTTGACAGTACTTTGGTTGACTGTACCTTGGTTGGCCATACTTTGGTTGGCCGTACTTTGGGTTGCCGTACCTTGGTTGACCGTATCTTGGTTGGCCGTACCTTGGTTGACCGTACCTTGGTTGGCTGTACCATGGTTTACCGTACTTTGGTTGGCTGTACCTTGGTTGGCCGTACCTTGGTTGACCGTACCTTGGTTGACCGTACCTTGGTTGGCCGTACCTTGGTTGGCCGTACCTTGGTTGACCGTACCGTGGTTGGCCGTACTATGGTTGGCCGTACATTGGTTGACCGTACCTTGGTTGACAGTGCCTTGGTTGGCCGTACCTTGGTTGACCGTACCTTGGTTGACCGTACCTTGGTTGACCGTACCTTGGTTGACCGTACCTTGGTTGGCTGTACCTTGGTTGGCCGTACCTTAATTGGTTGGTCGTACCTTGGTTGACCGTACCTTGGATGACCGTACCTTAATTGGTTGGCCGTACCTTGGTTGGCCGTACCTTAATTGGTTGGCCGTACCTTGGTTGACCGTACCTTAATTGGTTGGTCATAACTTGGTTGACCGTACCTTGGTTGGCCGTACCTTAATTGGTTGGTCGTACCTTGGTTGGCTGTACCTTGGTTGGCCGTACCTTAATTGTTTGGTCGTACCTTGGTTGGCTGTACCTTGGTTGGCCGTACCTTAATTGGTTGGTTGTACCTTGGTTGACCGTACCTTAATTGGTTGGCCGTACCTTGGTTGACCTTATCTTGGTTGGCCGTACCTTGGTTTACCATACCTTGGTATGGTTACTATACCTTGGTTGGCCGTACCTTGGTTGGCCTACCTTGGTTGGCCGTACCTTGGTTGACCGTATCTTGGGTGACCGTACCTTGGTTGACCGTACCTTGGTTTACCGTACTTTGGTTGGCCGTACCTTGGTTGACCGTACCTTGGTTGACTGTACCTTGGTTGACCGTACCTTGGTTGACCGTACTTTGGTTGATCGTACCTTGGTTGACCGTGCCTTGGTTGACCGTACCTTGGTTGACCGTACCTTTGTTGGCCGTATCTTGGTTGGCCGTAAGAATGAAAGTTCCTCTAAGAACATTAAGCCTTGCAGTGTAATGAACTTTCCCCAAATAAAAATTAATGGGAGGACAACGATGATGCCTCAATAGCGTAGTTTATTGGATGCACTATTTTTACAATTCACTGCATGCACTTACTCAAGATCAAAGAAAGTAGCTTAGTTAAAGAATAATAGTCAACTGAGAAGTAATAAAATATCCCCAGACATGTATTATCATATCTATCGATATATTCAAGGTATACTGGTAATTATACAAAATACAATATTCAAGGTACACGAGTACAGAATGCTATAGCCTACATTAGTTCATTAGCGGCATTTTACAGTGCAGGATATAGTTGTTGTTTATGAATAAAGTGGACACTGCACTTCGATGCGAATCATTAGTACTCAAACCATCTTGCACTCGTACGGTATGTGGATATCTTTTCCTTATTTATGTCTCGTCCTTTGCATGATAGCATGGTTGTATTTCTGGATGTTTTCTTTTGTTTTACATTCCTCGTGGGAGATTACCAGTTAGAATTACCAAATGCTTTAGATTTTCAAACAATAATGAAAGATTTGGTTTTTACGCAAGCAAATAATCATCGTGAGTAGTCATATCAACATTTACTTTTTATGTTCTCCGATCAGTAAATGTTAAGTAAATGTGCAAAAATTGTCTTAAGGAAATAATTATTCTCGATTATGGAATCGGCTATAATCTAACAGTAGAATGATAGAATGTTAACGAAATGCAAATAGGCAAATTTTTAGTTGCCATTTTGCATCGAGAGGCCGGAAGGCCTTTCCTTGATTGATGCTCAACTGTTGCGGGAGAGGAGTCTTGGGCAGGAAACAACTACCATAGAACTAAGTTTGTTTTTGTACTAACCATAGTTTTATGATGGTACTAACTTTGTGTTGGGTGTCACCACAGCGGCCTGCTCGGTAAGGTCTTTGGAGGAGGATGGTTCTCTGGAGGCCGGGCTAGAGAGTCGTCAACCGCTGGCTACAGCTCTCCTACAGGAGGTATGGGATACGAAACAGGGTTCGAATTGGGATACACAAATGACTTAAAAACTGAATTTTTGCGCTAAAAATTACAAAATTACTAAAAAATATAACTCAATACTCACTGCAGTGAGTAACAAAGAGCGCATTTTCTCGTCGACGAAAACGTGGTCACGGACGGACAGACAGACGGACGGACATGATGAGCACAGAAGCGCCTTTTTCCATAAATGAGAAAATGGGCTAAAAATATTGCATTTTGACCGCTTTCGGCCTTTTTGTGAGTGAATTTGGCCCTTTTTTGCCACCATCTGACAACCCTGTTACGCATCAAAAGCGAGCATCCTTGGCACACACTATATATACACCTGTTGAGCTTTTACTGTACTATATATGTGGAAAATAGGCTTTTTGAAGTGAGCTGGAAGTGCAAAAATCTATTATGTGACGCCAAGTGCGCAATTATAATGAACATGAACATAAATTGCCAATTAAACCTTAATTGTTGTGAACTGTAGGAGAGCTTTTTATCGGCTTAAAGGTTTAGCAATCATTCACTAATTTTTGAATTATATTACGTTTTTATCTACTGAAATATGTTGGGGAAATTTGCTTGCTTTGTTGTAAGTTCAGATGCCAGGTTCTCAGAGCTCGTTACGACGCTCGTGACCTTGTGCCATACTTTCAAAACTCGCTAAGTGAACGTAAGTACTTACGCTCTATTTTCTTGTCTATAATTGGTGGATTTTGCTTCAAAGGCCGTCAATGATTGGCTGAAGAACTTACGATCTCTTAACTATTTTTTAAAGTATAGTGCACGTAAGTACTTACACTCAATTTTTTGTCTATGATTGGTGGATTTTGCTTCAAAGGCCGTCAATGATTGGCTGAAGAACTTACGATCTCTTAACTATTTTTTAAAGTATAGTGCACGTAAGTACTTACACTCAATTTTTTGTCTATGATTGGTGGATTTTGCTTCAAAGGCCGTCAATGATTGGCTGAAGAACTTACGATCTCTTAACTATTTTTTAAAGTATAGTGCACGTAAGTACTTACACTCAATTTTTTGTCTATGATTGGTGGATTTTGCTTCAAAGGCCGTCAATGATTGGCTGAAGAACTTACGATCTCTTAACT